TGAGCGAACCACTAATGTAGCTAGTTTTCCACTTTTTGGCCCAATTACTATAGACATATGTTCTACAAGTTCTAATAGGTTTGTGGGCAAGTTTAGCTCTGGATATTTAATTACTATTTAATCCCCCATATCTCCTATGGATGTATATAGTTGATTCTTATGTCATAGAAGTTACAAATGGAGTCATGGCATGCATGGTCTATTTGGGTTGACTCCTAGTAGTCATCTTTAGACATTTTGATTGTGTGGAGATGGAATTATGGAATTTAAATTCAAGTCAAAGCCTTTCCAGTAGTTAGGCCTTTCAAAATCTCCTTTGAATTTGCTGTCCGGTCCGTAGTTAATCCTTTCGGGGGTTGTGATTGTGCATTGGCTCCTTTAGGTGCAAAAGGAAAATTGTCTAGCAGTTTTACCTATTTGCTATTTGTTGCGACTTGCTTCCACTTAGCTCCCAAGTGGAAACAAATGTCTGTAGGAGGAATTAGGATAATCTCACCAGATTTGTTGATATGCTTATCTTAATTTTCTGGTAAGAGCTCATGTCTGTGCAGTTACGTTACTTTGTTGTCTTAGTGTTCGACTTCGTGCATTTATAAATAAAAATGTTCATCGGGACTTCTTTGTGTTTGCTGTAAATAGGTCAGCAGTTTTTTGGACAACATTGTCTGTTTCTGTTCCTTGTTAGATGTGGGAATTTATATTCTTTAGATCATGTATGTTAGTAATTGTAGAATACTCTGTTATCATTTACTTACAATAGGTTATGGCAAAATGAAGGGTTAGAAAGTTCGAGGTCAAATTAAATAGTTCTTGCATAATTATAGTAGCATTCACTACTTTATAGTTAACTGATTTTTAATTAAAAGTTTCTCAAGTGCTCATTTCATACTTTGTAATTTGAGTTGCAAATTTTTATTCAGTAACAATTAGGGACTCTCTAACAGCCTTAAGGTAGTTGGTATTTTGTTATTACCACAAGGATATTGCTCATGGCATGATTTGAAAATTGTACTTAATGATGTTATTGCTTATCTTGCTTGTTATATTCACGAGTTCTTCATAGTGTGTTCTCAAACCAAGCGGTTGCTTGGGACACCTCATTCTAAGCCAATCGACCATTCATTCGTGCTTCACGATTTCGAATTTCCAAGTATGGGAAAGATGTTGACATCTTGAATCAGAGTTAGTTTGTTGGCTGGCTAGTGATGGTTTTGACGTTCCCAGCGGTTAGGTTTTCGTTCCACGATTTCACGTAAATTTTCACCGTCTGCCAAACTCATGGTAAGCCATCATCCAACCCGCTAAAGGTGTTCTGTTGTTGTTTTCAAATTCCTAGTAGAAGTTTACATCATGTGTGACGGGCGCTAAGAATTCGGATTTCATATTCGTATCCCTCTATCGAGACGTTCATATTTCGGTCTTCTTGAAATCTTACTCTTTTTACAGAAATATTGCGTATAACCTGCAGTGCAATGCAGCAACAAGCTAATGCATGCTGCCCGAATTGTGATTGTAGGAATACTACTGACATGGTAGGATCCATGTTGCTCTCCATCTATCATAGAAGCCAACTTGCTTAGGTTGTTTTGTGCGTACTGGTAACATTGCCCCTCGTAACAGTCATCGTCATATGTTTGCACACCCACAACTAGCATTCAAGGCTTTGCTTGGTTCATGTTATTGTAGACACGACTCGTACAACCTAAGCCTGATGATGCTTCGAAGCTGCTGTTTCCGTCTCACTACTTTAGCCTCAACTAGTAAAATGCAGTTTTTCTTTGTTCTCTCTCTCTCACACACACTCTCTCTCTCACGTGCATGGTTAGTACAAATCTAGTAATGCATGGCAATATTTATGTTGAATATATCGTTAATAATCATATATAGACTTGGGCAAAAGCTACAAGAGGTCGGCCGTGGGGGGTCTTAAAATCTTATTGTATCATTCATTCGCTGGTTCTGCCTCGTGGTGCGGATGTCAACGTCAAGTTCGCCGACTCGCGTTCAGATCCATTTGTTGGAACTCAATTAACTATTTCTTATTTACTATGCTGTAGGGAATCATCGTCGCTATCCCACCACCATCCATCTGCAGTGGAGGGAACTCTTTTTGTTGAAGCCTGGCCGTGGCAACCTTGTGAACGGAAGTGGACAATGTCAGTCTCTTTCTCTCTCTTGTTGTTTCACTGTAAGAATAGGGAAAAATCTTTCGCTAGCTTGACGATGACGACGAGGATGAGCTATCTGCTGTTGGGTTTACTGGATATGGCGCTTGCCCGAACCAGAGGATGTCTTTACCATTTTGTCGACGATTTTGTTTCTGTTCATATCTCGCTTACCACATCGACGTTACTTTGTTCAGATTTCGTTGGCATCCGCTTCAAATTATTCACATTTAACTTTGGACAATAACTTGGTGACGTCCAGGTGTCTTCCATGCGTATCTCATGTGCTCCATCAGGCACTCTCCGAACCGAGGGTTCCCGTCTCAAATGCATTAAGAATTAATTGGTCGACACAACAAACATGTTTCCAGGGACGCCTCTTTTCCTTTCGTGTGTTTAGGGTGCGACGTGTGTTTACTTTAGCAAACATAGCGTAAAACAAAAAAAGCATCAATGATACAAGCATAGCATCTGTAGTTAGATGAATCGATCATATATCGTATGCAAGCAGCAGTGGTTTCATCAAGGTTTGATGAATCAGTGGTTTCATCAAGGTTTGATGAATCAGTCGTTTCATCAAGGTTTGATGAATCAGTCATATATCGTAGAGACATTTGTGGGCCTCGAGGGCGAGGAAATAACGATACGAAATCACAGTGTGCATGGTCGGGATATCAGAAATCTTGACTCATTCATACCTTCGTACGGTATGTAATGTCTTAATGCAAGGAGTAATTTTGTATAAAATATTAAAATCATATCAAAGGGGCCTTTAAATTTTTTCATATAGCCATAATTTTTCTGCTTCTTATCTAGAATGCGGATGTAATTTATAGAGCAAAAAGTCTTTTGTGTTTAGCTTTTATGGAAAAGTGTATTTTGTAAATCATCTTCCTAGGCTAATTATAAATTACCCCTATAGTTAGTTGTCTTTAGTATCTCGTTCCTTACATTTAAAAAAATTACATTGGTATCTCACGAAAATGAAACATCTAAATTCATTTATCATAACATTGTCGATTTTACCAACGAAAACATAAAAACAAAGATAGAAAGAGAATTTTAACGTTTTGGTTGGTGGTGGGGGCCGACGTTGGTAGTGGCAGACAACGACACTATTAGGGGCTGTGAGTAGCTATTGTGGATAAGGAGAGCGACGGCGAGAGGTGATGGTCGCTTGGCAACTACGTCGACGATAGGTACAACGGCATCCTCAGTGTCAAATTTTGAGACTCACATTTTTCTACCGTCGTCGGGTGCTCAATAATCACTCGCCTATTGGCCTTCTAAAGCTTATATTCCCAATCGATGACAACCACAACCAATATAACTCCTCATTCGATGAGCCCCCCATCTCTTCTTTTTCTTGCTTATGTTGGAATTGACGCGATGGCGAGGGGAGCAATAGGAGCTCTGATTACCCTAGCTTTGGGTCGAGCGATCTACCCAATAGGTCAACTATGAAGCAGCCACCATCTTTGTTGTAGACAACATTATGACTACCACCATTTGCATTCAACATTAATGCAATTGCCTAGTGGTGTCACTGGCATCGACGTCGACACAGATGGTAGTGGCCGTCGCAATTAACCCATTAGACATATTACTTGATCCAAAGCTGGGGTTGTCGGAGCTCCTACCACTCCTCTCCCTACCGCGTCAATTCTAACGTGGGCACAAAAAAGGAGAGATGAGGAGCTCATTAGGAGAGGAGTTTTATTCATCGTAGTTGTCATCGATCAAGAAGGGAAGCTTTGGAAAGTTGGTACGTGAGCGATTGTCGAGCTCCCAAAAGATGTATCCACCGATGGTAGCAAAATGTGGGTCCAAGAATTTAGCGCTGAGCACATCATTGTACTTGTCGTCGACGCAATTGTCGAGTAGCCCTCACATCTCGTCGTCACTCTCTTCATTTACAATAGCCACCCACGATCCCTAGCGATATCGTCGTCTACCACCATCAAGTAGTTTACTAGAAGGGGTAATACGTAGTTAGTCATCATCTTTTTTTTTTTTTTTCAAATGCCCAAAATATAATTTAAAACTGAAAAATTCTTTCTATTTGGATTGGCAATTCCTAGTTTTTTTTCCTTCAATCTTGGGTTGATGGTTATCGATAGTGATGATGTCTAGATCTATCCAATTTGATTTGGGTCTGCGTATAAAGAAAGACGAAAGACTCAATATCAATCGGATGAGTAATTTATATGAAGATCGAGATCAGATAAAATTTCGTCAAAAGGCGATAGTTTCTTGTAAACATAAACATAGCTTAATTAAAATGTTTTATAGTAAACTTAACTTAGAAAAATACTTTACAATATGAAGGGAATAATCTTTCAAAATTTTTTATTGGACTGATATCCATATGATCTACTAATTGTGACTCATTATCTTTTTGCCGATCGTACTGTGTCGAGCCACGATCGAAGCTAATATTTCACGTATCAATCACAGCAACATATTCTACATATTTAATTTTAATAACTACTGCTTAAAATATAATTCAATTTATGGATATAAAACTTAAGCAAATCTATGTTTGAAGCAATCAGCTAATAGAAAAAGTAAAACAATACTTTTGTTGTTAAAAATATATATTATAAGAGTTTTGGATATCACCAATCATATTTTTGGAAATGTTTATTTTTCTGAAATAAAATATAATAAAATAAAATTAATTCTCAAGTGCATCGTTTGCTCAAACCGTTCCAATAAACTAAAAGGAAAAAAAAATGAGAAAGAAAAATCAAAGGTAAATTTAAAGTAATTCTTTAAAAATAAAACGTCGCATGATAAATACCAGTAAAGGATTTCTTGCGACAAATTTTCCAAATAAATATACATCAACCGGCAGAGGAAGAAAGGAAGCTTCTTTAGAGAGGCTACTATTTGCTCCGTCGACGTGCGAAGCGCCTTAAAAGATCCATCCCGACGCTTAAAGAGGGCAGCCGGAGAGGGAAGGGGGAAATCCGAAACCCTAACCCGAACCCGAGAGAGAGAGAGAGAGAGAGAGAATGGACGCCATTAGGAAGCAGCTCGACGTGCTCATGGGGGCCAACCGCAACGGGGACGTGAGGGAGGTGAGCCACAAGTACTACGACCGTGACGTCTGCCGCCTCTTCTTGGCCGGCCTCTGCCCGCACGACCTCTTCCAGCTCACGGTGGCTCGTCTCGCCTTCTCAGAGGCCTACTCCCCTTGAAACAGATTTTGATAACTGGATTTACAATGTTGATAGATATTAGGGTTTTGTTAGCTTCTGTTTGGTGCTGTTGGTGAGACATAAAAAATGAAATTCCCATGTTCTTGTATACTGTAAGTTGTCGGATGAATTTTGGGTGTCGATATCTGTTTTTTGTTTCCACTTTTTTCTTGGGTTTATGTGGTGTTTGGCTCTGGAGAAGTTTTGAGCTTTTGAACTATTTTTTTTATGTAATTTCATGTTTATGCCAGGCCACGTGTGTCCCAAACTTTTTTGCACCAGTAGCTTGGTTTTTAGGTTTCCTATTTGCTCGTGGTGTTATCATATTTCCAGTTGCATGTAATCTTACTGCTGTAAAATATACTCTGTTCTGGAAGGGAGATATATGTAGCTCATTAGTTCATTAAACTTTGTTGTATAATTTTCTGGTTTTCTGAAATTCCATGTTTTGCATTCAGATCCCAAGTCTTGTTCACAATAGCAGTGGGCTTCCATCTCATCTACTCTGTTTAACTTGGCTTGGGACTGCACTGCTCATAGTTATATCTGCAGTTAAATTCTTAGAATTTGAGACTATTTTTCTCTTTTCATGTGTACTCATACCATGTACCGATTTGCACCAGAAAATGGATATGGGTCCTTGTCCGAAGATTCACTCCTTGCAGCTGAGAAAGGAGTATCCTTTCTGCTTAAAGAATATGCATAACATTCTGGAGTAGTATATAATTGAGAATTTCCGGCAAACAAACAATTGTTGCAGCAGCATGACATATGCAGTTGATTATAAAAGCCTTTTTTATTATAAAGCATAATTTGATAGCACATATTTCGTTAGAGATGTAGGTTTTCTTGGATAATTTTTTTTGGTTTCCATGCACGCTTTAATGTGCCTATATTGAAGTTCAAACTTGTGCTTTTCTTGTTAATTCATGTTTTGCTAGCTGTTTATCATCTGCCAACCAATAATAACTAAGCATCATGCTGTAGAAATGATACTTGATAATTGTTTTGGAGATATTTATGTGTCCTATTTTGGTCTTTCAGCTATAGGTCTTATTGCAGATTATTTTTCTTCTTGTAATTTTATTTACAAAATTATTCACTATCAGGTATTTGCTCCCAGATATTTATATATCATTTCTGGTCAGTTATTTAAGAAATTCTAATTAGGCTTGATAAAAAAAAAAGTGTTTCTAGATTGGATTTTTAGGTTTCAGCATCTTAACACTTACCTTTGCTGGCCTCTTCCAATGACTATGTGTATGCGGAAAAGGAAATCTCAAGTTCCCTGATATGATTGGATGCTTTTTAGTTAGTTGGTAGGATGTAGTCATTTACTAGGCAGATAATACTGAAATATAAGGGCTTGTTGGATATGTTCATGTTTATGTACTGTAGTATCTTGGTGAATGACATTAATGCAATCTCAACCATGAATGGGAAAAAAAAATGCCCGTAGGACCATTTATGATGGTTGTTATTGGCAGAGTTGTGATATTAATTGATTGCTGATTTGTTTAGTCTAGTAGAATCACATCAAGGAGACGGATTCTGAAGTCCTCTAGACATTTGGAGTAGTTCTTGGAGTTTTGTTTGTTCTTTTACAAGTAGAATTGCATAGTATTCATTTTTTTACCTGTATAAACATATAACACTACTGTACACATGCGCATACTACAGGGTGTACATGCATATTGTTGTTCTAAATACATGATGATACTATGTTCATGGGATGCTGGGACTGCTCCTAATTTAAAGCTTCAGTTAGTTGATTTTCTCTGCTGTTGCTACAAAGCACAGAAGTACATGTTTGTCGTCTTCCTAAACTCTTCATAGATATGAAGAGGCAAAAGTAAAAGGTGATCATAATTTTCATAGGGAACTTGAGGATATGATAGAAAGACTTATTGTTGAGTGTGAAAGGAAAATTCAAAGGGCTCTAAAGCGACTTGAGGATGAGGATGCTACTGCTGCTGTAGCAATATCCGTATCTAAGGTTACTCAGGTAGTTGCTTCATACTTATATCTTGTAATATTCAATCATTTAACAGCCTGCATAAGCCTATTTAATGGTTTCTGATTCTTCTGATTGAAGACACCTGAAGTCATGGAACTGTCGAAACAGATAAAGGAGAAACTAAAAGAAGCTGATGTTTTTGGTAATTTCTTCTTTGTGGAATTTGGGGAATTTGTGTTTTAAACTAACTTTGTACTGGAAATCAAAATGCTGTATTTGAAAACTACATTGATTATCATGCTTATTTAGTACAGTGAGAGAAGTTGTAGTAACTTATTCTCTATGTTTTCTATATGTTGGTTTTATTTTATTTGTGAAGTGTTTTTATGCACCATTTGAACAGGGATATTGGTTGTTATTGATGTTGAAATATTTTGTCAACATGAAGTTATGAAAAGACGACACTGACAATAGCTTCACATCTTTTTGTTTAATGGCAACTGTGTTAGAAGACAAAGGCCCAAGCTGTTAGAGGTTGAAAAACATGACAGGATGAGAGAAACTTGATTATAATGATTTGGATTGACTCATATCAGGTTGGGGTTCGCTGATCTGTCGATCTAATACCACCTCTAGGATGAAAGTTATGGCAAAGGAGATTGCTGTTGCTAGAAGATCAAGTGTAAAACCGAAAGAGAACAACCTCTATTGCTTGTAAGCTAAAGTGATAACTGCAAGGCTTAAAAGTAACAGAATAAAGATGCAATAAGAGACTAATAGGTTCATGAGAATGCATATTGTCTTTAGACAACACCTGGGTGCTCTCGACAGATTGCTTATCATTGTTGGTTTCGTTCTCCTCTTTCTCCCTCGTTGGAACCTCCTCCTGAGGTTTTGACAGCAGGAAACAGACATTGGGGACTTCTCACAGCTGGGCAGAGTTTGATGTAAAGCTTAAGCTGTTGGAACTCAAGGAAGAAGACTACAGTTGGAGGGCAGAACCTTTCTTTGAACTCCTCTTCTTCTGGCTCTCGGTGCAAGCTAGAACTAGGGCTAGCTGGGCCTGCTTCTTGGCTGCCTTGTGGTCTTCTTCATGCTGCTACCAAAGGCTTTTTTGGAAGCTATTAAGGTTGGCAGCAACTCGGAAAAAAATCTCTACAGTAAAGTGGCTGCAAGCAGGAAGAAGGGCTGCTGAACTTGCAAACCCCTTCTTCTGTTTCTTTCTTCTCCTCTTAGGCTAGGGCCTACTGGCTTCTCAAGAGGGGGTATGATTTGAATGCCCTTAACTCCTTAGATTTATAGGATTGAGTGTGTCCAAAGCCTTAATCTGATTAGGACTTCTTGTTAGTTCATTTCAGCCATAGGAGTCTTTTGTTGGGGCCTGCCCTAGTTGGCTAGGGGCTACCCTAATCGTAGTCCTAGGATTGAGATTGAGCTGACTTGGGGATGCTTTATATGAAGCTCTCCTCTCTTTTTTTATAGCTAAGACGGGTGAAGTCCAAGTTAGGTCAGGACTTGGAGAGTCCTAATGCTTTTAGGACTTGGAGAGTCCTATTGCTTTTAAGTCTTGGAGAGTTTTAATGTATTTAGGACTTGTAACTGACTTGAATCTGGTCTTTAAGCCTAAGATTGAGTTCGGTCTTGGTTTGGTTTTATCAACATTGAATTGGAGTCCGATTGAAACTCCTGTAGGGCCAAATTGAAGTTTGGCTCGAACTCTGCTAGATTATCCTTGATCATGGATAGGCTCTTTTTTTGAACTATAGGTGAATCAGTGATTTAAAAAGCGCTAGGCACCAAAAGGCGCAAAGATCCAAAAATGCCCGAGGCTTTAGGCGTTCGTCCGAACGAAGTGAAACGCTAAAATATAAAAATATATAATATAATTAATAAATATAATTATTTAAATTTTAAATAAAAATATGCTATTAAATTAATCTAATAAATACAAATAATATTACTGGTATACAGTTAACAGTATACTATCGAAAGAGGAGAAGAGTGTAAGGGAAGAATCGGAAGACCGAGGGTGTTGACTGAGAAGAGCGGGAGCGACAGCTGCGAGCGACGACAGTGGCAGCGGCAGCAGCAGCGACAGCAGGAGCGGCACGCGGCGACAGTGGCATCGGCAGCAGCGAGCAACGGGAGCGGAAGCGGAAGCGGCGAACGGAGACAGTGGCAACAGTAGCAACGAGCAACGGCAGCGGGAGCGAGAGCGAAAGTGGCGAGCGGAGACAATGGCAATGGTAGCAGCGGGAGCGGCGACAGTGGGAGCGGCAGCGAGAGCGGCGATAGCAGCAGCGGTAGCGAGCAGCGGCGGCAGTAGCGTGAACGACGAGCAAGGTTAGTGTTGGGGAAGTCACGCTGATATCGGTGCTTTAGTTGGTTCGATTGAACCAACTAAAGCACCGGAGACTGAACCAGACCTCAAACGCTGGTTTGGTCGCCTGGTTTAACCCAGGCGCTCACCCGAAGCGCCCGACGCTTGGGCTCGGGCGAGTGCCCAGGCGCCGACGCCGCCTGGAAATAAAGCGAGGCGCTCGGGCCTCTCCTCACCTCGCTTCGCCTGAGCGCCTTTTTAAATCACTGAGGTGAATGATGATAAAAGTATGATTTGCATTAAAATAATTATAGAGAACATAATTAGCATGATTGAGGACTGTTGTGCCATGACACATGTTGACATGGGTCAAAATGTATTATGTAGATGTCTCATGCCAAAGGTGGCAACATATTAGAGAAAAGGTGGTCCATTGCATAAGGCTTCCATCAATATGGGGGCTGGGGAGTGTCAATGTATGTAATGTTTATCCTGTAAGCAACTATGATTGCAAAGGAGCAACCCTCTGGTGAAGCAACCTTATTGAAGGTGCCAACATATGGCTATTACAATTTTTGGACTAAATCAGCTTGTGTAAGGGTGTTTCGACTGGAATGATACAATTTATGTGGCGTCAAAAAATATTCTAGCATCCCCTTTGTGGCGTCAAGCAACAATCCTTGAGGAAAACCAAACAGGATGCCATCGGAAATAGTCGGGACTTGGGATATGATGACCCTCAAGCCATTGAAGGTGGTTGTCTTAATGGAGATATATTGGTTTTCGGTGAAAACGATGGTCAGGATTTGTTGTAGAATATTGGTGGGATTTGTCCAAATAAGATGGGTCGTCTGAATCAAAGGTAAAGAGTTTGAGTTACCCTCATAATTTTTATCAATTCTCCTTAAATCAAACCTTCATAAATTATGAAAATATTGTCAAATAATATAATATGAAAGTGTTGCTTTGTGCTTATACTATGTACTAGGTAAGGTCCTTTAAAGCTTATACCTCACATAGGGTAAATAGTTTTCACCCAAAAGGAATTATAGTGAACTGAGTGTTAAATTATTTTCTTTTGACCCAAACTTCAATGATCACACAAACACAAATGCCTCTATCGCATGGATGCACTTTGATGGTCGTGTGGTATTATTTCTGATGTTTCAAGTTTTAGGTATTGTTAACTATAATTCTCTCATGTAGTTATTCCCCTATTGTTGATGTGTATGGTCTTGCAAAACTTACCACCTTGAGTCTAAGGTCATAGTCGTCGAGAAAGATGAGATTAATGTACAATGGGTCTTTCTGAAAGTTTAATCTCTATGATAAGCCATTTCTTGCAGGAGGTAATAAATGTGGTGATAACACGTTCATAAGTTGACCAGGGATACGTACATGTCAATTTTTTACTTCAACTTCTTTTATGTAGATGCTTGGCATGATCTTTTGGGTTTCTTTCTTATTTGGTATCTATATCCAGTCATGAGATATGGTTATGGAAAGTTAAAAAATCATTTGCGACCACTAATTTGCCTCCTTGCAATGGAGAATGGGTCATAAAGGATAGTTGATATATGATTCAAAGAACTTCAATTCAAGGTAGTCTTCATTTTTAAGCTTTCTAAGGTACTTTATGTTTTAGATAGCATACGTATCAAGCAACATTTTCTTAATTTCTAATTCCAGAAATTTTATATTTTTTTGGTTTGTGGAATTTTGAGTTGTATGGGGATTGCCATAATTATTGAGGGAAACAAAATTTATGATTTCCTCTCACACTAGAAAAGATGTTATGGAACTATTTGTCATCTTTGGACTTCAGTACCAATCATTTCTTTAATTTTCCTGTATGGTTCTCTCCTCACCTAAGTTTATTGGAGGTTTAGGATGGCATAGGCAAATATCTTACACATGCTATGCTAGATAGAATGGAGCTTAGCTTGGGTTTGCACTCTGGGCATTTACCTTGGGTCCTATCAAGCTAGATAGAAGCAAGCTTAATTTTTTTGAAATTTTGAAATTTAAATAGCACCATAAACTTGCATATGATCCCAGATCTTGTATTTTTCGGAAAGCATCTTGAGAAAACAAAGAACCACATCTCAAGTAGAAGGCATTTGCATGATTATTTTCTCATGCATACTGTATATGAGACTGTGTTGATGAGTAAGTCTGTTGCTCATGTAAGCCCACCCTTCCTTTGCTCTTCTCTTCTCTTCAACTTCCCTTTTTTCTGTTTTCCTGCAAAGGCATTTGAGTGGTGATGAGTTTTATGTTATGAATAATTTTGCAGCAACCACCTTTTATTCATCTACCATTGGGTGCTTTGTTCAGTTTTGGAGCAAGTAGTTTTTAACAGTTTCAATTCTTTGATTCTACCTTATGTGCCCTGTACCTTGTCCACAGCGCATTTTATCATGTCTTAAATGTCTTACTGCTGTCTCTGTTCAAACAGTATAGTAACTGATAATTATTGTTTTCTGATTTAAAGTATAGTGATCGTGTCTTAAATTTTCAGATTTCGAAGGAAAAACTGATAGTAAAATACGGGTTTTAGAATTGGTGGAAGACCTCAAAGGCCAAAGAGCTGACAAGCAGGTGCCATTCTGCATGGTCATTGTGTAGGAAATTCATGTGGTACTATTTAACATGGTTAACTATGGTGCTCCGGAGTTCTCCTTAGGTTGCACGAACTTTTTGTTTCCTGATGCAGTCGGTGCTTCTTCTCGATGCCTTCAACAAAGACAGGGCTTCTTTGCCATTGCCAAATCAGAATCCTTCTCAACCAGCATCCTTGCCTGTTGTCGATCCTCCAGATCGTCATACACAGGAAATGATCTATGAAAAACTTAAGAAAGCAGAGGATCTTGGTACATGACTCTCTTCTTTCGGGTGATAAATATTTATTTCTCAACATGTGGTTCTTATTCTTAAGTCTGCGGTATACAATGTCTAGTCTTCATATCTCCATTAGCTGCTTTCCATCTGCAGTCCTCTCCGAATGAAGAGGTTTTAGAGGGACTGCCATTGTGCTATTGCAAGTCATTTGGGTTTCAACATTGCTCTCTATTTTAGATTCCTCGTATCGTATTTTAATTTTATTTCAATTACTCTGATTTTCTGTGCATGTTGGTACACATTTAGCTCTTGGCATTTTTACCTGGAGAAAGTTTTGCATCTCTAGCGGTCATAATTCTGGCATTAAAATAGACAAATTTGAGAATTTGATTGACAACCTATCATCATTGTTTGGTTTGGTATCCTAACAATACCAGTCTCATCCAATTGTTTATACTTAGATGGGAAACCACTTTTATGGATGCATCTTTAGATCCTGGCTCCGTGTACCCATTTAAATTGGTGTCATGTTTTTAATGATGATAATTGTGGCTTTAACTCATATATCATAACTTCTCACCTACCATCTTAAGCAGCAAGTAAACAGTTTCAGAATCTTGTTATTGTCATCCATTTTTCCTTTCATGGAGATTGCAGCTTATGGCCTTATGGTATGGTCCATTTTCAACTTGCCTAACTAAATCTTAAAAATTATCTAGCAATTTCAGTTTTGCTCTACTAATTAAGAAAGTTTTCTTTCATACCTTACATTAGCAATAACAGGTTTGACTTGAAAAATGTGGTGGTAGCACTGTGATGATATGGCACCCTTTGCCACTGATTTGTGCCAGTGGCATTTGTGTAGGGCTCATTAACCCGTTTGTCCGTTTTAGTACTGATGATGGTAATGCGGTGCTGATAGGGTGCATCTTGGTAATGACATGGCACCATGTGTAGGTCCATAGATTTCTCAATGCTTTGGTGTAGGCATGGCATCAATGTGGGACGCATGTGCCCTTTTTCAATCATTAATTATACCAACACCATTTTGGTGTTATACGGGCACCATTGCATTAGTGAAATTAGGTTACTGTTCTACATGTATATCTTTAATATTACCATACCCTCTTTTGATATAAGTTAAAGTTCAGTTAACAAAAACATCTCTGTCATAATCTCATTAGGTGAGTGATGGTAAACGCCTAATGTGTGGTGGAGCAAATTACGTGAAATGTGTTAAGTGTCACATGTAAGACACATGAGCAAGTCAAAAGTGGCACAAAACAGAGAGATACTAATGTTATTTTCTCTCTTTTTCTAAAAAATATTTTTTCCTTTAAATCAACAGGTGAGAGGGGACTGATAGATGAAGCCCAGAAAGCTCTAGAAGAAGCAGAAACTCTGAAAAAGGTTTATTCCTCTTTTGTTATTGACTTTGTTATGCATCAATTCATGATAAGTTTGTTTTGTATTGTTTGCATGGTAAACTATATATATATATATATATATATATATATATAACATGAGACCTTGTTTCATTACAATTATGAAACATTTTTTCAGCTGGGTGCACGGCAAGAGCCAATCCTAGAATCATCAAAGTATAGTGTTGCTGACGTACGAATAGTAAGTTCAAAACTGGGAAGTTTGTTCTGTCTATATTGTAACATTATATTGTAACATGAGTTGCTCTTTGGATTTTGTTAAATTTAGTATTATTTTGGGTGTATGGATATTTTGTTGTTGTATTAAGCTATAAACAGGCCTTATCATATATATGATTGTTTGAATTTTAATGATCTTGGCTGTAGGGACCCATTCCAACATTTATGTTTGTCTTTGACAATTAATATTGTAATCATATGAATTACACCTTAGCCTAGAGAAATTTTTGTGAAGTATAAACAAGCACCAGCATTTGTATTGTCTTTCTGTCCCTTTAACATTGTCATTGAAACCTGTTTTGGATAAGTAAATGTAAGTTGACTGTGGCCTGTAATATATATTGAAAGAGCTTGTTGGGTAGATTGTGTGATTCTTTTGTTTAATGATTATTAATGTAATGTTAGCCTTCTGAGATTGGGTTTTGAGCTAAAAGTTACCATATATTTCGAAACTTCATGAATGGGAAGTAGATCATAGACTTTTGAAGTTGGTAATTGAGGATCTAGAAATTGCAGGTTGGAGCTAGGATTCTCTTGTAGTGGAGCAACAAGAAATATGCTATGCGGTCCTATATTTTTTACTAAACAATATCGATTTAGTGCTGTTATGCCAACCTATTCAATTTGTGTGTGTGTGTGTGTGTGTATATATATATATATATATATATATATATATATATATATATATAGTCTTGTCTGAATAAATTACCTTTTTTGTGTTAGGAAAGTTGCTTATGGTATTAGATAGCTCAAGAAACCTTCTATTGATGATAATAATAACAAGCATGATATTGCAATTATGTGGGTTTATGGTAGCCACCTTTTGCTTGTTATGGCATTTAGGTGGTGGAGATGCTATGCATCATGTTTTGGGTGACAACACAGACTCTTAGGTGTAATTAGTAAATTTGTGTATTTACATAAGATTTAACAAAACTTTGTGATAGCCTTCAGCAACTAATGTAATCACTTGTAAAATTATGTTGCAGTAGGTGGATAACATGATTGTAGAAGTCTGTGCTTGTTATGATAGCATTACTAACCTGATGAATTGGATCAGCCCCAGTGATTTCAATAGGCGCTCGGGCGCTCGCCTAGGCGCTCGGGCGAGGCGAGGCGAGGCGAGGCCCGAGCGCCTCGCTTCACTTCCAGGCGACACGCTTCAAAGAGGCACCGCTTGGGCGCTTGCCCGAGCCCAGGCGCCGGGTGCTTCGGGCGAGCGCCTGGGTTAAACCAGGCGATCGAACCAGCGTTTTAGGTCTGGTTCGGTCTCTGATGCTTTAGTTGGTTCGATCGAACCAACTAAAGCACCGATATCAGCTGCCGCTGCCCAACCCTAACCCTGCTCGCGTTCACGCTACCGCTGTTGCTGCTCCCTGCCGCTGTCGCTGTCGCCGCTCCCATTGTCGCTGCTCGCCGCTGCCACTGCTCGCTGCCGCTACCGCTACCGCTGTCACCGCTCGCCGCTCACGCTCCGTTGTCACCGCTCCCGCTCCTACTGCTGCTGTTCGTCGTTGCCGCTGTCGTTGCTTGCCGCTCCCGCTCCCGCTGCCGTTGCCACTGTTGCCGCTCTCGCTGCCGCTGCTCACTTTTACCGCTGTCACTGCACTCTCGGTCTTTCCTTACACTCCTCTTCCTTCTCCTCTTTCAAAAGTATACTGTTAACAGTATACTAGTAACAGTAATGTATTTGTATTTATTAGATTAATAATATATTATTTTGATTTTAATACTATTAAATAATTATATTTATTAATTATATTATATATTTTAATATTTTTGCATCTCGCTTCTCTCGAGCGAGTGCCTGGGCAAGCGCCTAGCGCCTCAGGCATTTTTGGACCTTGGCGCCTAGCGCTTTTTAAATCATTGGATCAGCCATAAACGAGTGATAACCTGTTGTTGAGATGCATAGCCCCGTAGAGAATTTTCTACTGTAGTATGATATCTAGCAAGAAAACGAAGAAAAGTGATTGTATGTCTCCTTCCATTGAGAGGCTACTTCTCTCCAAGGGGAATATGCACCTCCAAGAACACGAGGGAGGGAGGGGAGAGGGAGATGGGGGAAAGAAAACGAAAGAATATACAATTGAAATATAATTTCAACCTAGTGCCAAGACATCACATCAACTAGTAATTGTGGACTCTTATACAATAAAGTCTCAAATAATTCTAAATACATAATCTTATTGATTAAAATCCTTTAATTTTCTTGTTTGCTGCTGTTGTCATTTTGTAATTTTCTCTGGCTAACCATCTGCCAGGTCCTCAGCCAAAGTCCACTATGGATGAGAAGCCAAATAGAGAGGTGGCTGATTACTCTTAGTTTGGGGTAGGCTATTTTACCTGACCAGGCAAAAGTATCCCTCTCTTATTTAAAATGGCAGGCTAGATCCAAAACAGTGATGATCCCCTTGTGTAAAGTTTATATGTGCTAGAAATGTTTTTTTTCCCCTCTTTTGAATGTGACACGGACCCTACACCGTAAACACTCTTAAAGTCATCATTGATCATATCGAAAGTACATGACCCATTTAAACTAGTTTAAGTCCACATAGTCCGCCAAGGGTTAACGATGGGAAAATACATAGTTTTTGTCAGTGATTTAAAAAGCACTAGGCGCCAAAAGGTGCCAAGGTCCAAAAATGCCTAAGGCGCTAGGCGCTCGCCCGAGCGAAGCGAGGCGCTAAAATATAAAAAATATAATATAATTAATAAAAAATAAAAAATATATATAATATAATTAATAAAAATTAATAATATTAAAATTAAAATAATATATTATTAATCTATTAACAATATTGAAAATTAATCATTTCAAATAAACTTAATAATATTAACATTTAACAGTATACAGTATACGTATACTGTTAAAAGGAAGTGTAAAGGGGTGCTGAGCCTGCTGACTGAGAAAAGAGGAAGCGGCAGCGGCGAGTGGCAGCGGCGACAGCGGCAACAGCGACAGTGGGAGTGGGAGCGGGAGCGGGAGGCGCGAGCAGCGACAGCGTTTGCGAGCAGCGGCAGAGGGAGCAGGAGCAGGAGTGGGGAGCAGGAGCGGCGAGCAGCGGGAGGCGCGAGCGGCGACAGCGGTAGCGTTTGCGAGCAACGACAGCGGCGACCAGCGGCAGCGGGAGCAGGAGCAGCGATAGCTGCAGCGTTTGCGAGCGACGACAGTGGCGAGTGGCGACAGCGGCGAGCAGCGGGATCGGGATCGGCAACGGCGAGGGTTAGGGTTCGTTTGTCACTTATATCAGTTTTAGTTGGTTCGATTGAACCAACTAACCATCATAGACCGAACCAGGACCGAACCAGACCTAAAATCTTGGTTCGGTCGCCTTAGTTAACCCAGGCGCTCGCCCAAAGCGCCCAGCGCCTGGGCTCGGGCGAGCGCCCAGGCGGCGCCTGTTTGAAGCGCGTCGCCTGGGAGATTAGCGAGGCGCTCGGGCCTCGCCTCGCCTCGCCCGAGCGCCTTTTTAAATCGTTGGTTTTTGTATATGATGAGGATCAAACCCGACCTCTTTTGAAGGGGAGAGATGCTCTACCATTCAAGAATTTGATCTTGGTCCACTGTGGATTTTGGTAATCTCTTGGATAAGTATGATATCCAAATATCAGATGATATATCAACCTGTACGACTTGGTGTCACTGAATATAATAAAAAATAAAATGAGCGATATTTGTATCAGTATCGGACTATATTTTGATACCGGTACTTGGTTGGATTGGGAAATACCAGTCTGTACTGATGTTTACTGTTGGGATTTGAAACTTTGCCCCCATCTAATAGGCGGATTGGTACTAGAAGTGGCAAAATTTTTTACAACTGGCTGAACTGCTGTAGGTTGGACATCATCTCCTAATTAAAATGGGGCTATTATTTGACTTCTATATATATAAAATATAAGCTGCCCTCTTCAGGTACTGTCAATTCCCAGTCAAAATTGGCTTCAAAATTTTCTGATAAGACTAGCCTGGTCTCAAAGCCTATACAAGACTATGGTGTAGCTGGCTCCATGGTTGCTGATGTCAGCCCAAGACAGATGGTCTGAGCTTGCCAATTAGTCCAATAAGACTTTGCCACCATGTGGATAGATCCATAATTGAGTTGGTTAACTTGTACCACTGGATCCAATCTGAGGTTGAAGATGAAGATGAAGTAGTCATCATATCCGTTGTGTTGTTGCTCGGACCATTTAGTAGCTGGCGTGGCTCAACTTGGACTTCCAAAATATCCAATCAAATTGGTTTTGCCTTGAAAAGGTTGAGTTTCAGGCTTATCTGACCTGGGTTGGGCAAAGGCCACAGTGTATCAAAGAGATGATGAGTTGTCTTATTCGAATTGAGGGAGATCAAGTAGAGGAAGATAGGAAGCAGTGAGAAAGAGGAAAGAGAGATGCTTAAGAGAGGTATAGGACCCACTGAATTTTGTTTAATCTCACTTGTAGATCATCCACCCCCTAACAAGACAGCAAACTTTATTATTGTATACATAAAAATGAGAGTCCTATTCTGATAAGGATTTTAAGAAAAATTAAACATCACTATGAGGTCTACCTAATCTAGATCTATCTAGTATAAACTAAACTCCTTCCCAAACTACAACTAGTCTAAAATTCATCACATCTTATGTTTTTAGAATTAACAATGATAATAGTTGATCTGGAAATTTGAAATAAAAGTCGTCATAGTACTATAGTTGCCAAATCAACTTGATTTTATTACTCAAAACCAAAATCCCAACCTAAACATACTATAAATCCAACTTTGTTGGCTATGTCATGCAAACACTTCTTTATCCTGGTTTGTGATGAGCTGTGAAGAGGAACTAACAATATCCATACACATATATTTGCTTGGTGGGTTCATGTGCAGAATATAATAATGAAACTCTCTTGGGCTAATGCATAGTTCCACTTGGAATTAGGCCAGATATCATGTGAGGTGTCGGAGTTTGCATTTAGTGAGTGTTACAGGAGAGAATTTCTTTTTTTTCTTATGCTGAGTGGGTGGGAACAGAGGTTGCATTTTTTTCAGATATCACAAAGAACAGCATTGTGTAAAAGGCCTGTTGATGGTAGTAACTCTCACAAGTGGTTTTGTTCTGACCGTTTCATCCTTCCATTTTGGCTCCATGCCTCCACCAATCTTTATCCCTGATAAATGTTCAATTGGCAAAGATGCATTTTAGACCTAAAATTTATGAATTGTTGCTTTTATGACTCTTAGTTCAGGGTTAATTTCATTTAGTCACCTGTTTTACGGTATTATTGTTGGACGATCCAGCGCAATAATCTTTTAGCAGGTAATCCTGATTTAAGTTTATTGAATCTAAATATATGAATGATGATACAATCTGGTATTGTTTTGCAGACAGATCAGAAGTTGCGTGTATGTGATATATGTGGAGCATTCTTGAGCGTCTATGACAAGTAATTCTCTCTTTTTATCATATGTTATAAGAATGTCCCTTAGAATCGGGTGGATTTAGTCCTTGTTACAGACTCGCCTTCTGCATAGTTTTATGGGAACAATCTTTCTAGTTAGAAGAATGTAAGTTTTGCCTCTTATGTTTATCTGGATCTAAGGACACAACTGCCAACCAAGTTATTAAGAGCTATCAGTATTTGTGGTTTTCTAATGATTCAGCAATCTGTTCCTGTGGTGTCCAGTGATCGTCGCTTGGCTGATCATTTTGGAGGAAAACTTCACCTTGGCTATATGCTAATCCGTGAAAAACTAGCAGAACTCCAGGTAATCTTTGCAAATCATCTCCTTGTACAATTTTTAAAATTTTCTTGTATTAATACTTTGCCCTCTTTTGGATTCATGATGCAGATGTACATTTGAATTTCTAACAGGGTTTTGTTACAGTTTTAGTTTTTACAGTCTGTGTGGATTGAGTTTGTATTCTTACTAGATTCCTTTGAAGTTCAAACTTTGAACATGTTGGTCAGGTGCTGGTATAATGTTTCGCATTCTCCAGTAAAGAGTTACGATTATTTTTGGCATCAGTGAGTTTTCTTCCCTCAATTGAAAAATCACCACCATGTAGTTATGTTGAGTTTCTGTCTTCACTTCTTTTACTTGGCTAGTACATTGTCATGTGGGAGGGTCCCTTTGAAGTAGTGGACATATATGGACTCAGAGAACTTCATTCCTGTCCTCCGTCACGACAACTGCAATCACTTAAGTCAAAGAAACTGTAAGCAGATAAACAGTATGTAGAGCATATTAAAATTGGCAGCATAGCATTGTGTTTTTTCATTTTGATGTAACTGCTCACTTATTCCTGACCTTGGTTCTTATTTGTGATTTTGGGTTGGAAACTAAGCAACATTGCAACAGTTGTTTGGTAAATTATGAGCAATTTTAACAATAACTGTTTATATGATTTGAATGTTCGTTTTTAAGCAACTAATTTGCCTAGTTAGCAAAGTTTTTGGAATTTACAATGTCATAATGTGATCATCTCATGCATAGGAATTCTGGAATAGTTATCCCTTAATGTTATATGTTCTTCCCCAGTGGAGTTTGTAGATCATTAATTCACTGCTTCTCATTCATATATTACATGACATGACATGGACATGGTATTTGTTTGCATGCATTACTAATGATTTTATATATGAATACATGTTTTGTAAAAGTCATGATCATCATTCTTGTACTACATGTAAATTGTAAAGGATTAAAATCATTCACTAAGTACCTCGTATTCATATACCAAACATTAAGGAGATATTCACAGTAATAGTAAGATCCAAGCAAATAATCCATATTGATTTAACTCCTGCAATAATGACATATCATTAATAAATCTAGATGATGCATATGCTGGTGTTAGACTGGTGTCGGACATGAATGCTCCAAGCATTTGATGTGGTTGTGATGCATTATTTCTCATTTCTGATTGCATCCTGAATTTCTCGTCAAATGTGTCCAAGGTTATCTTAGATGATGGTGTTATTATGTGACTAGGAGAAATTAATTGTTTACTACTATGTTATCAATTATGTGCTGTAACCTTTGGTCATTCTACTATTCTTCCGAGAATTCTTAATTGTAGCTGAAAGTAAATATAAAGTGACACTCCCTGAAAGTGGTCAATGTCAAATTATTTAGTTTATGAATGCCATCCCAGAAGTCATTTTCATAGAAATGGTTAGATAAACTTCTATAATTTATTTGCACTTTGATGACTTTGGAACATGGAGAATTGAACTCTGTGGAGTGGACTATAACCATAGCTGTTTGTAGCCTGTGAATTATGTGATATGGCTACAGCTGCTTGTTTATTTTTGAGATTGGTGCATCTTCACAATCTATTTTGCCAGGAAGAGAGGAACAAAAAACGAAAAGTTGATCGATTTGAAGATGATAGGAGGTAGCATTCTCTTTGTTTGTGATGATTTGAAGAATCAAAGCATAGCCATCAATTAACAAATATTTCACAATTTCCTGCTTCAGGGTAAAAGATCAAAGTAGGGATCGTGATAGGGCTGGAAGCAGGGATCAAGGTGTAGGTAAAGAGGTTCATGTTGATAATCGATTTAGAGGCAGAGAATTTGATCGACGAAATAAAGACCATGATCCACATTATGATAGAGATCTTAGAGACCAAAATAGAGATTCTGATCAATCCCGCAGTTATGACTCAAGGAGCAGAAGGCGACGTTCTCGCTCAAGGGATCATGGTAGAGATTATGACCGTCATAGGTGAGAACCTACATGTTCTTTTTTAAATTATTTTAGGTATTATTCCTTCTGTACTTTCAGCAACTGCTGCATCCAGTTACTAAAATTTTCTCTTTGTTCTTCATGGTGTGCACAACTGTGTTTGTCATGAGTTGTCTAGCTAAATACTGCAGATATTAATTAGTGTTGGAAGAACATTTGCATAATGCATGTCTTATTTTTCAAAGAAAACATGATTAATATGAAAATTGATTTGAACTTTTTCTTATTAGTAGTGGTTAAGAGAGAGAATGGATAGATCTTTAGCTAGTTGTAATCAAAGCTTCAGTCAGCTCAGCTGATATCATGAAGTCTTTTGGTTACTCTTGCTTCTTTTCAAGTTCTGACCCATTCTTTTGTCTTCTGATTTTATTTTCTAAGTCTGAGCGAAGCGAGTAATTGCATTCTGTGATCAGGATCTTTGGGAATGCATCTAGTGATATTTCTGATTCATCAGTCACAAGATATTGTCATCTTTGATAATAGTATTTCAAGCTCTTGGAAGGAATATAATGTTTGTTTCTCTTTACATTATCATTGATAAAGTTTGGTTCTTTGTTGTAAAATTTGAACATAATTCGGTGTCCATATTGTAAGTGTTGTCTCTGGATTCCTGATTTATAACTGTTGATTGAGAATTATTTTTATACTAATGAAACATTAATTTATAGTTAATTAAAAAAAAAAAACTCACCAACCTTTCTTTATCATATTCAACTCAGTTTTTTTTAATCTATTTGTATCTGCTCTTGTTGCATAACATTGCATTATCTCCAAACCTCGCCTTGCTTTAATCAAATAGTGTTCTTTTTTTACAATGCTGCTAGCCCAATTTAACATGTGTTGGATCATTCTTGCTGCAGGCGTCATGGCAGGTGCTGATATATTTCCATCTGGATTACTACGGGTATCTGTCATGGACCGAGAAGGTTATAATAAATGTATGTATCAACTTTGTTCTTGTGGTGATCTGTCGTGTGTGTTTTTTTCCGATATCTGGAGCCACTGGTTGCAATATTTGGTGTCAGTGCTGCCTGACTAGGGCAGGCAATACTGGTGAAAATTCTTCTGGCTTTTGTGATACCTTGTTAGAACTGGCAAGAAAGGTCTTAGGGTGTGAATAGATTAGGAAATTGTGATCTTAAGAGTTCCCAGCTTGCTTATTCGTGGATTTTATTCTCTATCTCTCCCACACAGAAACAAAAACATCTGAACCTTTTCCAGGGATGCTTACTCGTCTTTTGTAACTTCACTTGATATATTTGGTTCAAGAAAACACAAATCCCTATTCTGTACTTTGTTGCTGACATTTAAGTAACGCACAATCATGTGTGAATACTTCTTGACCTTTGCTTGTAGCAGCTTAAATTACTCGATTGCTTTGGAGGCGTTTGGAAGGAGGTTGTGAGTGGCTATCTGTGGAAGGGAATACATTGGTGATATGATACGAGAATATGTCTCTAAGCGTCACTGAAGAGAGAGAAATGGCGTCTCCAAGCTAAAGATCCTTTTCTATTCCTTTTCCACTTCATCATCTTAAAGAACTATATTCACTAGACTTAGCTTGGTTTGGCTTGAATCAATTTGTTTGATGATTTATCAATTCTAAATCAAATCAGAATTACAAAACTATAAATAGGATACCTGATGTATGTCGTAGAGGGTCTATAATATGTTTGACAGCTTTAGTGTGGTTGGTTTTTATGATCGTTTTAGGCTTGTAAATCCATATTCTATATAATCGTTGTACAAAGGTAAAATTACTTCGAAAGAAGTTATTCGATTAATCGTTTCGACTGTTTTTTAATTTCATAAAGTGATGTGTGTTGGTCAGTACAACATCCAGGCAGCTAACCAGGTGGCACATGGTTGGATCGGCTTTTGGGGTAATGTCTAAGGTTGGTTTATTGTCTTGTTTCGCAATAATGTTATATGAGTACTCGTTGAGAGTTTTAATCATAGTGGACCACGTTGGATTCTTTGTTGTGTAATTGTTCAGAGCTTGTGAATTATATGTTTGTAACTTGTATTGTCTATCAAGCATTTGTTGAACTAGTTGTTTATTGTTCCCGAGTTAAATATTTTTTCTAATCTGTCTTTTTTTTTTTAGGTCCGACCATAAGAGGTTTCGGGGAGATTGATCTTTTATAGATGGATACATAAGGGTGTCACACGACTTAGGAAAATTTAGTTAAGTCTATAATATATTGTATTAGAGCGAGACAAATACACATAGAAATACTTGATATGCAAATGTGAAGGACATATCGGGGTTATGTTGAGGACAGCTAACATGCATGATCGTTTGAGAGGGAAACTGGTGTTAAGATGTATGGAAAGGAGTTACTCAGAGAAGTGAGTATTTGAGATTGATATTCAGAGGAATAATCAACCATTCGTGTGAGAGGCATCACAAGGACAAGCGAGCTAGGATATATATATAACACACAGAGGTTATGATGGTTAAGTTTGAGTTACAACTCAACGTTGGTAACCAAAATTTGACGATGCTCAAGGCAAGCAAGGTGCTTGGAAAAGGATAAGATCGTGCAAGGTAAAATAGGTTGCTCAGCAACCAAAAGAGTTGCGCAAAGCTCATAAAGGTGAGAGAAATTAATGCAAGGGTTTGAATGCAGACGATGGATTGTTTGTGGTCATCCCAAAGCGATCGAAACTCGATGTCATAGAGCATTAAAATTCTCTTTGGCATGGAAAGAATACATCTGTAAGAGGTTAAAGTGTGTAGGAGTTTAGCATGTTGTTAAGCCTTAAGAGGCATAGCGGGAGCTACATTGGCGAAGAGTCGTAATCTAGCAAGTGCATTCACGGGGATAGAATAATGTATAATTTGTTCAACAAGTCGAAGTAGTCCAAGGGGATGGTGGTATCCGAAACTTCTAAAGAGAAGGATGTGAAGAGAGAAGTTGATCCATCAAAGCAGATATCCAGGAGGAATAAGTCTCAATTCTCTAGAGGGAGAATCATGTGCAATGAACTGCACATGTTGAGGAGGGGTACTTCAAGACAACAACTCCACAAAGCTCAACAGATCAAGTAAGCATGAGGAGTCACCGCATGATCTCACATGAGGTAATGCATTAGTGCACACATTGCGAGATCAAGTGGGGAAACGACCCAATACATCACTAAACGAAAACATACTTAGAATCGATGTGAAAATTAGATTTAACGTAGGGCTAACCCGTAGAATGATATACACGAGGGCTACAAACTCAATGCAAATCGAGGAGTGGAGCAACTTGGTGAAGTGCCTAAGCTGCATGAAGGGAGTTAACATAAAAGATGAAACATGAAGTGGAGGCATGAAGCTTTCCTTGGATAGAGGTCAATAACATGAACTCTCGTTGAAGTAAGAGCGAGATCATGTTGTTGCATGGGTCTCTCATTCTGATGGAGCGAACTCAACCTGCATGATGCCAAAGTTGAAGGGAGTTTCAAGACACATGCACCTTATCTCGAGAAAGCATTTGATGGAGGAACTAACATAACTCAACTTACAAACATGAAGTTCGAGTTAGAAGGCCTTAGCATTGGGCAAGAGGATGCGAAGATGGATACTTTTAAAAAATATGTCATGTTGCCATTTGAATTATCGTGAAGGAAACAATGCGTTATAGAGATTGTGTTGGTGGGGCAAAGGCTTAGAACCCAAATAATGGTGCACCAACTTCAACAAAGTCTATGGACTTCAAGAGCTGTTAGGCGACGGATTATCCTAGAGCTATGTTTCCTCCGGGTGTGACTTGAGAGCGGGTGGATGAAGATTGATTACCAAAGGAGAGAACACAATCGAGGTGGCAGAGGCCTTGTAATGTGCTAGCAGAGGCCACACATGGAGAGATTGCAGTCCAAGTTCATCCCACAAAGATCAGAATGTAATGATAATGTCACCAGGAGGCGACATGATGCAGTGGATCATAGTGCTTCTTTGGTAGTAACGTTCGCTTACTCAGCTTTATCCTTTGACTTTTCAGACTCCCTTAAGCAAATATAAGCTCTAAAGTAATCTAACTCTCCAACTACTCTGATCATACTTTTGTATAATCAAGCCCCCCTTATAAGACTCATTAGTACTTACACTCGGAATTCCTCCTCAAATGTACACAGCCCCCATATGCTGATAACTATGGCTTTCATCCGATGCAAAACTCGATACACGCATGAAAGACCCGCCTTTGTGGTACCATAGCATTCACTCCTTGAATCCATAGCCTTATTTGTCGTCATGTTGTTCACCGAAGTAGAGCTCCCAATAGCTTCCGATTATACATCCGTATGATTAAGTCCCTCGTAGGACTTCTCACGTATGTGTCATAGAGGTGTTGAAGTAAGTGGAATTGCTCAAGGGGAATTGTTCGAAAAACACAGAGGTGTTGATTAAGTTCCATCGACCAAGGGTAATTGCTCGAAGAACACAGAGGTATTGAAGCAAGTGGTCGAAAGGGGCGAGGAAGTGACGACGAGTCCAAAGGGACTTAGCTACCTAAAGTCAAGCGTCAGTTAGAATTGAGGTGGACTCAGTGGAGTGCCACAGTACCGTAGAGGTGGATCTACCGATCATGAAGAAAGGGATGTAGATACGAGGAAATGGATAGTAGGGCATGAGCATGACAACGCCATGGTATTATAGAGGCAAGACTTCCGTGGAGTCATCGATCCCTTACTCTCATGAAGGAAAAGCACTTGGTTATAAAATGGGTTGAGGAGGTGGAAAAAGCAGAGGCAGACTTTAAATACTAAGACAAGGCTGAAGGGTAAAGGCTATGGAACTTCGTTAGACCGGTGTCAACGAATTTCTCATCAAAAGCCAAAAGTGAAGGACTTCAGATCGATGTACGAGTGCTCGACCAAGGAACGAAGTAGGTAGTATGCGATGTTGTACCTTTTCTACTTAGAGGAATAGGCGACAAAGATGATGGAGAAGATAATACAGTCCCAAAGGCGATCAAAATTATTGAAGACTTGCTCAAAGTCGAGACAAATGTTTACTCTTTTGGGACAAAACTTCTTGTATTTCAGAAGTTTGATGGCAATAAGAAGGTGAATCGCAGTAGCTAACTTAATGCAAGGAGTACAAACACTTCAAATGCTTCGGAAGTATAAGCAAAGAGTAGGCGAAGGCTAGTAACCGGCTCAATGCATAGAGTACAACCCTCGAGGAGGTGAGTGAAGCCGAGTAACTTTTGTCTTCTTAACTCTTAAGAGAATGGGTGAAATCGAGTGCCCCGATCCTCTTATTTATCCAACAGAAGAGCTTTACACAAGTTCGAAGGCCCTTCAAAGATACTTAGTAGAAGACAATAGTTATCAAATTTTGATCGATAGTGATCAATACTATCGAGAGTAGACTATCTGCTTCATTTCTCAATAGAATATCAATCGAAAACGAAAGTAACACAAACTTACTTGGAGGCGACAATTAAGTAGAAGAGGAATCGATGGACAAATTTTGTGTAGGAAAGATTTCAAAAACTTCAAAATCTATGTGGCGATGCTCATTAAAGCTACAATAGACATCCACCTAGTTTAAGCGACATGAGACATTTGAAAGAATGACGTATAACAACAAAGTTCTTTTCCTTCATCTTAAGGATCCGTGAGAATCAACGAGAATCAACACAATTCGATCAACCTAACAACAGTGTTGTAAGTGAAGCAGAAGATTGGAGATTTAACAAAAGCGAGAAGATGTAGCATTCATAAAGGCTTCGATGAGGACATCAAATTAATAAGTATGAGAGAATATCACAGACAAAGCTATAAACTGGATGTTCGATATAATGCTTATATATGTCCATGTCTTTTGATTTTGTTTATGCTTTGTATAGCATATAAAGGGCTTGTAATAAGTTTGGTAGCCCCAATTTAATTGGCTTTTATAGTCGTTTTAGGCTTGTAAACGTAGGTAGTGTACAATCATCATGTAGAGGTAAAACTAACTAGAAATAGTCCATCCAAACAACTATTTTGGGGGTTTTCTAACTCCACAAAGTGATGTGATATATCAGGCAGTACAACGCCCAAGAGCTATCCATGTAGCACATAACTGGATGAGCCTTTAGGGTAGTATTTTGTGTTGGTTTGATGTCTTATTTCATAGCTATGTGGACACTTGTGATGTCTTTTAGTCGCAGCAAACCATCTTGGACCCTTTGTTATGTGACCGTTCAGAGCTTACGTCAAGTGTTTATTGAAATAGTTGCTTGTGGTTCCCTAGTTAAGCTTTTTCTTTGTCTTGTTTTTTATAGACCCTTAAGGGATCATAAGAAATTTCAAGAAGACTGATCCTTTACCAATGGACACGTAAGGATACCACGTGACTTAGGCATTACCAACTAAATATGTAACATATGGGTGGTTTGATTTTAGTTCTTGGCTTTGGGGAATTAAAATTAATAGTTTTAGTTTCGAATTCAATTCAAACCCATGATTTTAGATTTTTTCAAAGAAAAAAATTATTAAGTGAACAAGAGTAGTAAAATTAGTAAGAAAAAAATTACTATTACAAAGACAAAATAAATCAATGGGTTCGAACTTCCAGTTTTAAATTTATCTAGTTATTATTATTTTGGTTGGGTGACAATATTGTACGTATATAATTTTAAATTTTTGAA